ATATATATATATATATATATATATGCATTGTTTTAATGAATAACTAAGACCAGTTTTCTGTGAATGGAATTTCAAAACGTTTATAAAACAGACAAGCAAAAATCACAAGAAAGTTATATTCTGTCACTAACATTAGACATATTGTAACACTGATAGTGACCACTAATACACTGTCACTTCTACTGTGTTGTTACAATACTAACACTGCACTGTTATTTCTATTTGTGTTGCTACAATATTAACAACAACCAGTAAAGTTATGAAAGTCCATTACACTATCACTTCTATTTCTGTTGTTACAACGTAAAAAACAACCAGTGAATTGTCTACAAAACAACGTAGAAAATTACCTGATCATACCAGACTAAAGATATATCCTGAATTAGTTATGGGAGGCTGACAACTAAATAGCTGTTCTTGATTGTAATGAGAACTTATACAAAACTCTGTGCTTGAGAGTCATGATAACTTTTACAAAACTCTGTACTTGAGAGTTATGAGAACTGATATAAAACTATGCTTGGGAGTCATGAGAACAAAGTTTTATATGAGTTCTCATGACTCCCAAGCACAAAGTTTTATATCAGTTCTCATGACTCCCAAGCACAAAGTTTTATATCAGTTCTTATGACTCCCAAGCATAGTTTTATATCAGTTCTCATGACTCCCAAGCACAAAGTTTTATATCAGTTCTCATGACTCCCAAGCACAAAGTTTTATATCGGTGCTTGGGAGTCATGAGAACTGATAAAACTTTGTGCTTGGGAGTCATGAGAACTGATATAAAACTTTGTGCTTGGGAGTCATGAGAACTGATATAAAACTTTGTGCTTGGGAGTAATGAGAACTGATATAAAACTTTGTGCTTGGGAGTCATGAGAACTCATATAAAACTTTATGCTTGGGAGTGATGAGAAATTATACAAAACTGTATTTAACAGTAATGAAAGCTTATACCAAAACCCAGTGTTTGAGAGTAATGAGAATTGAAAAGTTAAAATACAAAAAAAGATCTATTTCTGAAGCTTCATCTTATAAAAAGTTTTTTTTAGAACCAATTAAGAATTAAAATATACATACATTGTACCAATTTCTATTATAATAAAAAATTAACATAGAAAGAACAATCTTGAATGTAATGCATATTTACTGTTTTATGTTTTTGTCAACTATTGTACACGTAAATACAACTTACCTTCAGACCAAAGTATTCCTTTCCATGGCCAAGTATGGCATCAATATATTCTACAGCCAGCTCTGCTGCTTCAGATACAAGGTCATACATAACATACAGCATCAAAAGTTCGGCAATATTATGTTTCTATGGAGGGAGAGAGAGAAAAAAACAACATAAAATAGAAATAAGCATAAATATATGTTGCATACTTATGTCTATTTCATAACATTAAAAATTCTTCCAGGGAACAACTTTTTTTTACATAATTATTTAAGGTCATGTAAATTCATTTTCAGTAAATATTATTTCATTTCTCATTAACTGTGTGATTAGGTTACAATACTTTTTGGAGGTGCACCACGTAATATTATATTTGATAAATGGCACTACCATTTCCTTATGTAAGAGTTAAAACAGAAAAATATAAACCAAATACCATTTCTCCTTACATGTAAACTACATACTTAGCAGCAAAGTAAGACTTAATCAATTTCATATCAAAACCGAGAATAGCATTAACAAAAGTAACAATTTGGAAAACAAAAATGTGCAGATTGACTCAGTAAAGATAATCAAGCAATTTGGTGGTTTTGCTCGAGAGCTTATCTAATCGAGACATTAGTTTAATTGGAACTGTAAAAACCATTTTGTATCACTGAAGGTATGAGCACTGGACTTCTGGATTATAATTATAACATAAAAAAAAAGAATGAGCACACAAGAACGTATAGAAATAAAGTCACAGCAAACAAAGATTCATATTTACTTGATAATTTACTTTCAGGATCCTTCACCAACCTCTTATTGATCAATTCAGTGTTTAATAAAAAACTAAAGGTCTAAATATAATAAAACTGATTTGATTTTTATGATCTCATGCAAAGTTAGTTTGTTTACAAATGTTGATGCAAAAGCTATTTGCACGAGCCTTTTCTAATTTTGAACATAAAGACTTGTTAAGCACAAAGTTACACAATGGGCTACCTGTGTTGTGCCCACCACAGTTTTCAGAACCTAGTTTCAGCATTATAATCCAAGACTAGAATTAAGGCAGCTAGTCAACAGCACCAACCATCAATGTGTGGGTTACTTTTGTCTGATTGAATAGTTGGACTTTACCATCAACCTTATATTGAACTCAATGCCTCAAAGTGCAGTTTTGTTTTTCAATGACAATCCACCTACAGATCCACAGTACAGCACACTAATCACTGGGCCATGCTTGACCAAATTCCTGCTTAGTTTAAAATTTATAGTGTTAACTTTTAAAGAATACTGCAATAATTAAAACTACATAATCCAAAATCTTGCCCGAGGGAGAGTTGAAAGTAAAGAAACATGTCCTGATAGATCTGTTTCATACAATTGTGATTTCTTTCAATAGCATTGTAAAACTTAAAAAAAGCATATTTAATTTTTTATATATTATTTTTTAAACTAATGCATCAGTAAAATATCTAACTTTATATGAATTCTGAAACCAAGTTGGTAGAACTGCTCCAAGGGCTAGAAGCCTCGTTGCAACACAACGATGATAAGTTGTTATCCCTGATTTTTCGTACCGATCAAGGTAGCTCTGAAGTAGAAGCCACGCCTGTCTCTGTCCACTGTTGAGGTAAAAAAAAAATAACTTCCTCTCACTGTATTTCCATCAAGATCACAAAATGTTTTTATGTAGAAAAAAAGAACCAAAAGAAAATTAAACTAGATTTTATCTGTACACTTTTCACTGCAAACCAAGAGAATGATATGTATATTTTTCAAGATTTATAGAAAGATACAACTGAATTTTAAGCACTATTAAAGAAGCAACAACATTAAACCAACATAGCATCAATATTTGAATGACACCATTATGTTTGTTCAATATCTTTTGGACAAAGCTACTGGTATTTTTCTCTTTCATCCTGGAAAACTAAATTACAAAGTGAACACTGACTGAAAAATAGGTAGACACATTAACTTGACTTCATCTCTTACAGGATACACAATTTTGGTGTAACGCAAGTACATGCTATTAGAAAACAAGTTTACAAATTGCTTAAAATATGCGTGTTTAATTTGAGCCTTTACATAATGTTAGAGAAATACAAAATTTATCAAATTTTTCTTGTATAATTTTAGTTTTTATAATGAAATCATATTTTATTTCCAAGATGTTTCTTTCTAAGTGTGTTAAAAAACCTAATCAGTTAATCTTAGATGAAGACTCAACTAATTTTGCCTGAAATTCATTGATTAATTACTAGGAGCTTTTTGTTTTGTACTCAAACACTGACTGATACATCTTTATTGATGTAGATCTGTGTAAGCACATATTAGGTAAAGCAATACCCCAAACAATGTATAACAGTACAAAGACTTGTTTCACATTTAGCATTACATAACCTTCCTTTAAAGCACATTTACTTAGTACGTTCAATGGTTTGGGCTTAAGGTCAGATGAAGGACTCATCATGGAGGCCAAAATGTCACCATGAAATCCAGAAAATATCAGGAAAAGTCCACCGAAAACTCATAAACATCCTTAGTTAAAGAATAGATATTTTAACTTGAAAAAAAAATAAAAAATACAGAAACAAAAACCTACTTATTTCCAGAAAACATACAAGATAAATGTAATATTCTAACCTGGGATCACTGACACACTGTGTATCTGTTATTTCATTCTCCGCAAGCCATTCCCAAGTTTCTGCAGACTCAAAGTCCTCGTTGACATTCCTGGTAGATTGATGCATTAGGCTTACACACCTAGAGATGACCATGAATGTTTTATTCATCAACAACAATCTTCAGTTTATATAAAAGATAATACTAACACAATGAGAGTGAAAGCTGCATGTAAAAATATAAAGTTCTGCTTAAGTAATTGGCACTTTTTCTATAAAACACATCTTAGGTTTAGGTTTTTATTACTAAACATGAGAATTTTTTGTTGACCAACTATTGGCACTCTTTCTATAAAACACATCTT